CATATTTATTTTGCTAATTTTCGGCAACACCCAGATTTACACGTTCTAAACAACAAAGTTTGGTATTGCCAAAGCTTTGTTGTTTTGTATCTGTTCTTGTTTGAGTAGTCCTGGGTATGATGATAAACTACATCCGGCAGCAAGACCCCTGATCGAATGATTGGAGGTTTTGTAGAGCGTGGCGCCTCTTCTTAATAGTTGTTGTTCTCAGGTCCAAGCTGACCCAGAGTGGTAGCACCTGTTAGGGTCCAAGCTATGGGCAAATAATCAACCCCCCCAAACAAAAGCAGAACAATATGGAAGTATAAAAATATATTTTTATAGTAAAAATATCAGCAGTACATTGTTCTATTAAAAAATTACCAGCAGTATCTATTCATAGTAAAAAGACCAACAATACATTTTATCTGTAATTGAAGGCATAGAATTGCATTCAAAATATTTAGGCTTTCGGCCGCTAAACAAAACCAACCAAAAAATCTTGTTTTAGCAGTAGAGATTAAGAACGAAATAAAAAAAAATAAGGAGTAAGCAAAATAAACTCGATATATTTTGAATTATTTTCTCTATAACAGCAAAATCCCGATTATTATGAATTGCACCGTCGAAAATTTCCCATCGTTTTTAATTTCTCGTGCGTATTATTAATTAATAGTTTTGTTATTGATTAATCATATAATTTCTATCTTTAGGAAATTCTTTTGCTTAAAGATTTTAGTTTTTGAAAGAGATTAGTTTTATTCTAATTTATAACTCGACTTAATTAATTACAATTAAACTAATTCATCTTTAATTCTTTGTCATTAATCTGAAGATAAACCTGTTCTTAGTGTTCCAATTCATTCCTCTCCTCTTTTTTGCCATCCAAAAGGTGGAGATGAGCGGTAGATGAAAAGAAACGGGACTCAAGACTTCCTAAGTCAATTACACCACAATTAAGCGGCTATCTGCTCTCGGTTCTTGATGAATAAAGCACTTTTATTTATTATTTTTTTTTATTATTATTTTTATTATTCTTACAGAAAATATATTACTGAGACTAATCTCAGGTACAAACCCTTTTTTACAATGGCTACAGCTAAACTCATAATTATTCACCTATAATTGTAGGTGATATAGGCGTAGTGGGGTTTAATTGAAAGAGATACAGAGAAAGACAGAAATAAATGTTTTTTTCTATTCCATGTTTTTTAGGACGTAGGCGATTACTATAGACATCTTTTCTTTTTCATATATGAGAATTGTCAGGAATTCGAGATAAATATAGCAGAGCAATTTCCCATTGCCTTCTCTGAATTCAGAGTTTTCCTTCTCCTAGACTGGATACCACCTAAGGCTTTAAAGCTCAGTCGACCTTGCTATTTAATCCAGACTTAATCTTAGACTGGCTGGCATTTATGGTTTCCGTGCTGACTCTACCCTGCTATTTAATCCAATGCTAGGGGAGAAAAAAATGAATACATGTTCTTCCCAGATTTAACCATAATTTTGAGCTCGAATCCCTGACGCCACCTCACACGTCAATAACCTTTGGGAATTAGAAATGTTCATAGTCGGATGAGAGATAGGCTCAACAATTACCAGCTATTTTCTTCCAGCTGTCTTCTTTGCTGTATTGTCTCAGTTGTTATTTACTAAGCTTAGAATTGTTTAATACAAAGCCACAAGCAAGGGACACCCAGTGATGATTGAAGGCACTATTAAGGATCTTCAAGTCAAGCATAATGATCATAATACTACGATGAGGCATCCACCTGGTCTCAGTTGTTGGTGAATTAAACACTTTTATTTATTCTCACAGAAGATATATTACTGTGACTAGTCTCGGATACAGATCAGCTTTCCATTTAGACTATAAACTTATTATTTTAACCGAGTTCACCCTATACAAACCAGAAAAGCCACTGAGACACAAGGGGTTACTGGGTATGGAAGAGAAACAGGAACAATTGCTAGAGAACGAAAACAGAGGAAGAGTAATCAGGAGGATGGTAAATAGCGATTGACATTGCACCTATACTGCATAACCCATTGGCTACGCATGTCACTTAATGTTATAGTGGAACACACCTATTCTATAGTTAATAGACTCTCCCACCTATAATAAGTAGGAGTAGTAAGAGTAACGAGTCAGTCGCTAAGTCGCTGAGTAAGTTGTTCAGTGGGTCAGTCAGTCGATGCCGGACGACCGTTAGTCGGATACTAAAGTATCAGCGACCACAACTAGATTTCTCTGCGTCAATACCTATTATATCAAGTTCCTAACGGTTTTGTACGTCGAACCTATTTTAGGACCGACTTAGTACAAATACAAGGCTCCACTGTCAAACCACTCCACAACACTTAATATAATTGTATTTGATATAAGTGGTGGATAAACTTTCGTTCTCATCTTGGTTGATATAAATGTCGTTATACAATAAGATTTTGGCTACGTACTTTTTTGACATTATCAGATGACCACGGATTGGGCTGATATTGGATATTGTGCCATTTCCACCGTGATGTCGTTTATTATACGTATCTACTGAAGCAATGTTTCACCGCCTGATCCAGAGATTGAACACACGACCATTAGATGACAGCGACACCTTTCTATAATTAAACTTCTATATCAACTACAAGGACATCCGCGGTCTATTTCTGGAGACGTTATATTGAATGTCAAATTGTTTCGACATTTGCTTATCATGGTGGGTTCATGCCGCTTTTCGATAATTTTGTATTTCATTTTTTGATGATGTATAATTATCAATATAATTTTATTATTTCGAACTGTTGTTTTCATCTCGGTTGATATGGATGCTATTAGGGATGGTGGGGTTTAGAACACTGACCTTACTCGGAACCGAATGTGGAGGTCAAAGTTAAGCGATTACAACCTCGAATAAATTCACCTTCTGCTTTTTAGTTAGAAGTACAATAATTTAAATATCTGAGAATGTGTATTATTAGAGGACGGAAATTGCGACACTGAAATACGAGGACGAATTGGAATAGCCAAAGATGCCTTTCAAAAAGCTAAACAGAGTATTAAGAAACAGAAAAACTTCGTTAGAAACAAAGAAGAGAGCACTGAACTGTTACGTGATATATATCCTTGGATATAGCAGTGAATACTGGATAATCAAAGATGAAGAAGGGACTTGAAGCAACAGAAATGTGGTTCTACAGAAGGATGCTGAGAATGCTACGGATTAAATATGTGAGCAACGATAAAGTTTTAGAGAAAATGGAAACAAAAAGGAAACATTAGGAAGAGACAATGGAAAATTTCTAGGGCACATAATGAGGAAAGAAGGCTTGGAAAATTTGATACTCGCAGGTCAGATTAAAGGCATGATGGACGGAGCAAAATAACGAGATAATTAGTGAGCCTGAGTAAATAGATGGCGGAACAAGGGTTAGTAGAAATAACAATAATAAAGACAAAATATACAACTGGACAGGAAATTGGGGAGAGCTATGATCAAAAAAGTCCTGAAGGGACACGGCACATAATGAAGTAGTAGTAGTTATTCTGATAAGCACCTTTTGCTTCCTTTTTTTAACTGTTTTTTTTTTAGATCATAACCCATATAGGATAAGCTGTTTATATAACTCGTTGATACGAGGAGAATCTTTATGAATTAAATCTGAATTAATAGTTTTAAGATTAGAAAAGGATTAAAGGCTTTATTTATGTTTTATGACCGAAGCTAATGTTATTAGAGTAAGTATTTGTTTGAAAGTTTGCCTCCTAATTCTTCATCTTCAAGTACCGTGTGCCCTTATGAGGTAAGCGATCACAGTTCTTCACAATTTCCTGCCCTTTATAGTTCTAAAATAAATTTTGTCTTTTTGTTATTTCTCCTAAACCCTGCTCCGCCATCCATTTAATCAAGCCCACTATGTTATGCGTTGATTTCCTTTGTCCCTCTTGTCTTCAATCTGTCATGTGAGTATCAGATTTTCCAAGCCCTCATTATGTCCTAAAAATTTCAGCTGTCTTTTTCTGATGTTAAGTATAAGTTTTTTTTTATTGTTTCCATTTTCTCTATCAAATGTAGTCTTATAATTACTTCAACTCAAATAAAAACGTGAAAATAATTTACATTTAATTTATTCGTATGCTTATCTGATTTATTCTAGACACTTACATTGACGCTGTTTTGTCTCTATTTAATTTTGTTCACCTGATTTTAGTGATGCCATTATGCATTATGCAGAGGGAGTTCGTTTTAAATCCGGAACAGCCTTTCTTAAGCATTGGAACAGAACCAGAGACACTTGTGAGGAGAAAAAAAAAGGATGAAAAGGTAGAATATTCAGAGAGGGTGTGATGAGGAAAAGGGCAAAGAGAAAGAGAGCCGTTAAGAGATATATAGGAAGCAGTGCAGAAGTGAGAAAAAGTGACACGGCGGGAAAGGGATTGGCATAGAAGCGGCATAGAGCGTACAAGAAAGTAGCCTTTCGAAGTAGTGAGAGAAAGCTGGGAAGCAGTGGGAAGCGTACGCAGCCTGCCAATTCCTGTTGATCGAATCGTAAACAACGCACGCACATTTTTCTTCCCGTTAAGAGGGATATGTGGCGAAAGTAGCGTGTAGGTACATACACACGCGTGCACACCGTCTCTTTATACATATAAAAAATACATACACACACACACACACGCACATATATATATATTTATATATATACTTATATACATCTATACAAATGAATGTGCATCTAAACACACACAAATTTACACATCGATATGCACCTAAAAATAATACACACACGCACATACACCTTATAGACAAAATCATACGCATATACAGAAAACAAGCATTTATATTACACTGATGTATATGTAAGTACATAAATACACACACATATTTCCATTTATTGACCTTTTTAAATGTACGGAAAAAAATTATAGTGTGATACGGAACTTAACGTACAGGCCAAAAGAAACAAGCAGACGACATACACCCGCGCACCGTATTTCTGCACTTTCTTTCATTATATTGTGCAGCATGTCGAGCGCTTGGTTAGCCTCGGCGCTTCTGGCAGTCATCTACTTTTTGTCCTGCGTCGAGCTGCTAACTGCGGAGTCGGCCACCCCGGCGGGAACATGTACGTACAACTTCGACGTGTGGAAACCCGGCGAGGACGTCCTCGACCGTATCACCAAACTAGAAGGCGGCATGGAACTAATGAATGCCACCATGGGCCGGGACCTGGCCAGATTACGTGTCCACGTAATTTCCCAAATCGAGCACCTCGACAACGTCACCTCGCACCTGGAGGGTCATGTCAATAATCTGCAGGGTCACCACCGCGTGCGACACAGCCAGTCGAACATTAAATACATCCCGAAGAAGTCCGAACTGGACAGCATCTGGAATAGCATCGCCGCATTGACCAGCAAGCTGGAAAAGATTTCGAACCAGCTCAAAGGCAAAAGCGAGGACGGGTTGGACGACTTGCGAGCGAGGGTCGGCGATTTGAGGGCCGAATGGATTGTAATGAAAAGGGAATTACAAGACTTGCGCGGTAATGGTAATCAACTGCGGAAGGTGAGTAGTCGTCTGCTCATGTTTAGAGACCTTTATGTTTTGATTATATTGTAGTGGTCACCGGTCATTTGCGTCAGGAGTTATACGGAATTACAATAGATTGTTATATAATTTATTTGTCTACAACAATGATTAATTCCATTAATTTGGAATTCCAGAGTTGCTATCAAATCTTGGTTATTGATTTTTTTTGAAGTCAAGCATTTTTCTACTTAGTCATTAGTGCTAAATAACTTTTAACAAGTAATTTTTCTATAGCGTTTTGTATGCCTGATTATGAATAAGTTACGAAAATATATAAATAAATAACCAAAAAAGCAAAGACGAGAAGCTAAAAACAAAGAAAAAAATTAAAGTTACCTTTATGATTCTGTCAGTTATACACGCTTAGGCGATCATGTATCTTTCGGTACATGACTGACGAGGCAGATTTTCTCCCGCAGTAGGTTGCCATTTCTTTCTGTGATTAAAAATAGCAGTACTCAACCTTTTTTTGTCCATGCACCCGTTACAAAGTATTTTGCAATGTACAATTTCTTCTATTCAAAAATGCGTTATATAATTATAGTTGCCATCCAAGGATATAGAACACGGTGTATCCTGCTACTTACCCATAGCTTGGGGTGGGGGGGAGAAGAGGATTCATACCTTTTCAAAGGATATTAGCAAGTAAGTAAATTCAATCGATTCGGCTGGAATTCGAACTCGGCTCTTTGATTCCTCAATCCGAGCCGCTATCCATTTTCCTCCGTGCCTCCCGCTTTATGGCTCTAGAAATTGAAGTGGGAATTTTAATGGGATTTTTTTTAGTGTTACATGACATTAAAAATAATTGTTATTTTAATGGTATATATACCATTAAAAATAACAGTATTCAACCCTTTTTCGCCTATGCATCCGTTTCAAAGTATTTTGCAATGTATAATTTCTTCTATTCTTACATTCAAAAATGAAATTTTAGTTTGTATCTAGTGTGGTAGCTAAGTCTAAAATTTCTTTCGGAGAAGGGGAATTACACATCACGGTTAAAAACTACGAACATATATAAATAACTGATATTTTGAGATTTTAAATTCTAGACTGACGGCACAGACCTGGGATATGAAGTTAATAGTTTGATTTTCCCAACTTAATTTATCATAACAAAGGGAAAATATTTTGTATTTAGGAGACAATCTTAGATATGCTCATTTCTATTATACTTGAACTGTACTTGCATTTGATAACTTGGGGGGGGGGCGTCTTCTCAATTTTTCCTTGATTTTTTTTAAAAACAAAACAACGCCAAAACCACCAACTGACAAGCCGACCAATCAAGCAAATAAGGCAATTAATGAATTAAATAAAAAAGAGCATAAAAAACAAACAAACAAAAAAAAAACAAACTTTCAACGACTTCTTCATAATTAAAAATAAGATACATTAGAAGTTAAGACATATACACAGTCACACATACGCGCATGCGCGCGCACACACACACGCGCGCGCGGCTTACAGCCATATCATGTAAAAACGTGTTCCAGTACGAACACAAAAGTCAAGCAACATCGAGGCTAGATGCGTTACCGTTTTGTAATACTAGGTACTGTAGGCTTGGGTGTGCGGTTGGTGTTATGTAATAAGCTCTGGCAGTTGGAAATCGGAGGGCCAAGTTTCAATTCCAGCCGGGTTCGTTAACTTCACTTACGTGCATATGCCCTTGGGAAAAGTATGAATCTGCATCTACCCCCAGCTATGTGTTAAATAGTAGGACTTATATATGTCAATTGTTATTATCGCGTAAAGTTTCTTACAATATGACTTTAAATAACCTGAAAAAAGTTGATAAACCGTAAAAAACAACCAAGCAAACAAGTTCTACATATAGAAGATAGCACAAAAGTCGCATTAATAACCAACTTTCGAATAAATTCAAATAGGCTTGCAACATAACTTTTAAGAGAAATATTATATAGGAAAATAATTCAAAAGTACTCTTTTCTCCTGTTGAGTGGATTTCAGAATCATCGAAACTTCGAATAAGGATAAGTAAACATTGTATATATATATATATATATATATATATATATATATATATATATGTGTGTGTGTGTGTGTGTGTGTGTGTACATCATGAAACTGTTATATACAAACCACTTTCTATGTTCAATGTTTAAAAGTGACTTTGCGCAAGTGAAGCTTCTGGGTCTTTGAGAAGAGCACACTTCTTCGAACCTTGTGAACTGGCGCTTTAGAATCCCAAAGAACTGTACCAAATAACAGAAACCACATCACTTGAAGACATTCAGCAGCAGCGACACCTAAAATGGATATCACTTGTAACATGAAGAAAAAATAGTGACATAATCAAGATGTTGACATTCCACACTACTTCAAATAAAAGGTTAGGAAGGAAATCCCCATCAATACTGGAAAGAGCAATAACAACAACTGGACTTGAGAAACCTATTTTCATTAAAAAATGTTTTATGAGAAAGATTATATAAATTTCAACCGACAGTAGCACTGGCTGTTCCATATATATATATATGTGTGTGTGTGTGTGTTTTAACTATTAATCAACCAAGGTCTACTTTATATTATTATATGCGTATATACGTTCAAAAAAAAACACACACGCACTCACCACAGACACAAACATATATATATATATATATATATATGTAGTTGTTCAAAAATGTATTCACTCTTTAAATGACAATAAACACTGTGTTTAATGACTTAAAAAGAAGATTAATTGTTTAAATTAAATATCAAATGAAATTAAAATTATGATTATAAATAAATATCCAAACTGTCAACAAAGTCAAAAAGTGAGTATTTTTTCTTGGGACACCCTGTATATACACAAAATTATGCAAATATATATGTACTACAGGCCTATACACAAACGCATGTATATTCAAATAAGGGCTCCTCGATGTGGTCTAATGGTTAGAAGGCTTGTCCCGTTAGATCAATTACGAGTGAATAGTGAGTTCGTAACTCACTGAGTGCCCCATACTTTTGGCCTTAAGCCACATCTAAGCTACTCTTAGAAAATCACCATACTAAAATAGATAGTTCTACGATTTTTAAAGGAAAACACATACGTAACATTATAAAGATGAAAACGTAAGCTAGAAGCTGAAATTTATGCAGCTTTGAATGTTTTTCCTGCAACTATTTGCAATAGTCAATGATGTTTCGAAATACGGCTTGTGCGCGCTACAGATTAAAAGTCGACGTATGTAAATGGTACTTATGGTACTGTATACACACCTTGGGGTATCCTCACCGTAAAGCAATGGTTACTAAGTTAGTCTCGTAGACTATTAGTACTGCATTGAGTACTGAACCTTAAAATGTGCTCCACTAAATTCATTTTAGCCTATGCATGATTTAGCAATTAACCATAATATCTCATGCATATATATATATATATATATATATATATATATATATATATATATATATAATGACGAATTACACTCCAGCAAAAAATTTGGAAACGGCATGCTGTACTGCTTGGTATTTTCGCCGAAAGCTCCAATATGGACATTTTAGCGTTTGAGTCAATCAGCGGACAATGCAGATGATTCGGAAAGAGTTGGATGGTGATTACGAACGTACGACAGATCGGAAAACTCACTCTGGTCATTTTGATATGAAAAGAACTCCCGAATGGAAGCCTACACCAAGTGCCTTGAGGAGGTGGTGTTGCCATGGGTAAAGAGGGTGGCTGCTGGAAGACCCTATGTCTGGCAAAAGACTTTGCACCATGCAACACAAGCAGGAGAACCCAGTCATGGCTATCAGATAATTACAGCGACCACATCACTCCTTACATCTGGCCACCTAACTTCTGCAACCATCTTGATTATTATGTTTGGAGCGCAGTTGAGCGAGAGACCAACAAAACTCCTTGTAACACCAAAGATGAACTGAAGTCAAGTATTATGGCAGCATTTACCAAGTTAAACAAGGAGACCGTCCAAATATATCTGTTAAAATAAGATTTCAGTGTTATTTTAATTTTTAGGTAATTTAGACGACAATTTATCCATCACACCATATATATATATATATATATATTTGTAACCTAATATACATACTTATACTTGATGTAAAAATAATTCTACATACTATAAGGGATTCTAATACATTTAATTGTTCTTAAAAAATATAGTATAATAAAAATTAAAAATGAAAATATTTGAAATCGTACTTAAATAAAACGTATTCTAACCTAAACACCCCAAAAATCTTTAAATATACAAATAGGAAAAAAATGGCGTAAGAATTTTTGCCGTTAACAATAAATTAAAAAAAAAATCCAGACGACACGCATTCAACAGATGTCAGATTTCATTGAAAAATACATCCCTACCCCCTACCAAAACGTAACTAATAACGGACACAATAATAGACATAATGAACACCCAGACACCCCTTGTCCAGTTGAAGTAGATTTATCTGTTAACCTTGGAAACATGAATTATGATTTTAGCTGTGTCTTTAAAACCCAGTAATTTTAAAAGTTACTCCAAAATTCGCTTGAGGATGAAATGGAACTGTCTTTAATTTAATTACAAAATTAAATTCGTAGCATTTAGCTTCCATTTTTGAAACAGGGTTAGAACTGTGTAGCGAAAAAAAACATATTTTAAATAAATCAATATATATATATATATATATATATATATATATATATATATATATATATATAAGGGGTATTTTTCAGCGTACCCACGTTTCTACCGAATGTGATACAAGATCATTTTAAAGTGTTCAAGCACCTCCCTTTTTCCCCTCAGGCGCCAGGCAATAAATCCAGCGAAGTTGAGGCACTGCCTGGGGTATGCATCTACCCAGGCTTGATTTTTTATTATTTTTCAACCTTCCTTGATCGAAGCGAATTTCGATACAAGGTAAGTATATATATATATATATATATATATATATATATATATATATATATATATATATATATATATATATATATATATGCGCGTGTGTGTGTATGTATGTTAAGGAGAATCATTAGTTCGAGCCTCAGTAACAAAAATCTGAATGCTGATTTTCAAGGCAAGTAGTTTCCCCACATAGCGGAATAATACGGCTCAATCTTCAATCTCCTGATATCTGTAAATATCAGATCTAGTGCTTGAAAGACAAACATTTCTGCCAAGTTGTCTATGTTTGTATACCACTGCATTTTAACACTATTCGATGATCCTTTCAGACCAATATCCTTATCTTTCTGATGAGGATGTTAGTCAAAGAAAACAACTGAAAAGTAACACTGCATCATTTCAGATATCCACGCAAAATTAATACCTTATTTGCATGGATATATGGCTTAGTTTATAGATGCTTTGATTTCAATAAAATTTAGCTAGACAACGAGTTAAAAACATGTCAACAAAAAACTCCATCCATCTATCTATCTATCTATCTATCTATCTATCTATCTATCTATCTATCTATCTATTAAGGCATATTGCTAGCAAGTAGATGTTTAATTCGTAGAACTCACACACACACAAATGCATATATAGAGCCTTGATAGTGTTCAAAAGAGTCTCCGCGTATTTGTGGGTGATGACTTATTTTCCACCCTCCAGCCAACTCTCTCACCGGCGAGACATGGAAAGCCGCTCGCTGCTCTATCGCTACTTTTACGGCAACTGCTCGACCGAACTTCATTCCCTAATCCCGCCAAGCCAAACCTTCGCGGCAAGGACATGCCATGCTACTTACATAGTAACGAACCACCCATATTCCCTCCGTATTCCATCGGTGAGAAGTCAGTTCCTCTCGAGCCGGATCTTCACACGAACCACTGCTCTGTGGAAGCGATTCCAAAGAGGATGTTTCCCCAATCACTACAATCTTAATTTGTACAAGGCTAGGGTTAACTGTTATCTTTCACTCCTATCCACACAAATTGCTTCCTAAAAAACCCTCTACCACGAGTGGCCCCGGGTGTTATAAAGGGGATCCTTACTGTAATATATATATATATATATATATATATATATATATATATATTTATGAATATATGATTATTTTTTAAAAATATGATTCCATCGCGACATTACTGTTTTGAAACCGGTCATCCGTATTCAGTTTTTTAAAATAAAAACAAAAATACTAAAGAACTTACGTTCATCAATCTAACAGTTCTTTTTTATCATATCAACACACACACACACACACACACACACACACACACACACACACACACACACACACACACACACATATATCTATATATATATAATTATTTATTTAAAAATATGATTCCAACACGCTACATAAGAGTGCTCATGTTTCAAAACAATAGCCGAAAACTTCAATATACTTATTTGATTTAAATTGAATTAAAGTAAGCTCTGTTCCATCTTCAAGCGAAATTTTTTTTGAATAACTTATTTCTGAAATTTACGTGTTTTAATAGCATATTCATTATTGAAATCAAATTTCCATGGTAACGGTTAGAGCGATTGTTTAAATAGAAAGGGGGTAGGGTGTTAATAATTTGTATCAGTATAGAGTTACATTCATAGATGTCAAGTCAGGGTAAGGTTGGGTGTCTAAATTTAAAACGGAAGATGATTTCGCCTAGTCTGGTTTACGTGTCTATGGAGATTTATTTATTTTTTTATTTTATTTTTTTCTGAAAGGGTTTTGTGTATATAAAAAACTGCCGTAACATTTGTTTTTTGACGACTTCATAAAGGGTTATCTACACAAAACCCTTTCAGAAAAAAATTTCTTTATATTTTCACACACACACACACACATATATATATATTTATTAAAGACATATTTTTATGTTTAACGTTGTTATTTTATAGATACAAGTATTTAAGCAAATGCTCTGTTTATGATAAACAGTATTAAATAACATTTACCGGCCTGAATGTCCGAGAAATTTTCATAGAAAATTTTCGTTCTTTGACAGGATTCGAACCTGTATCCTATACGGAACCGTTATATACGCTGACGTGCCTTTACCGTTTGAGCTACAAAGAACCAATCGGTAGACAAGGAAAGTTGGAGTTTATAAGCAGTAATTCAACTTTCGTATCGATTGGTTCTCGTATATTCAAATGGTAAAGGTCCTGCTAAAGACGTATATGAATGTTATTTTAAACAAATGACGTGCTCATATAAATAAAAATGGACAATTTTCATAGAAAATTTCTTTATTAAAGACATACGGAACCGTTATTTAACGTTGTTATTAAACAAGATACAAATTCGACCTTATTGGTTCTTTTTACGGTAAACGTACGTAAGCGGTTCCTGTCAAGAACGAAAATTTTCTAGAAAATTTCTCGACATTTAAATCTCTGTTTAAAATAAACAACATTAAAATAACATTCTTTTTAATAAATAAATTGTCGGACCTTTTCATTTCTTAATATATGACGTCATTTGTTTACATTCGATACCAGTTATGAATATCGAGATTCATGGAAAGTTAGTTTATAAGCAGTAAATTCGACCTTTTACCAATTGGTTCTTTGTAGCTCAAACGGTAAAGGCACGTCAGCGTATATGACGGTTCCGTATAGGATACAGGTTCGAATCCTGTCAAAGAACGAAAATTTTCTATGAAAATGTAAATGGTAAATGTTATTTAATACTGTTTATCATAAACAGAGCATTTGCTTAAATACTTGTATCTATAAAATAACAACGTTAAACATAAAAATATGTCTTTAATAAATAAATTGTCGGACCTTGTCCATTTCTTAATATATATATATATATATATATATATATAATTTGTATGTATGTATATAAGTTGAAAATGTGGAATAAATCCGACAGAATGATTAAATAAAGAATGAGAATGAAAATATTCATAAATTTAACATATTTCTCCATTTATTTTAGAATTTGTAATCTTTTGTTATTTCAATTCTAAAAAGTTTTAATGGAGCTACATAAATAGCGAAACATTAGATTTATTAAACTTTTTTTTCTTAGTCCATATTTTAGAATAATTTGTTTGCGCATCCAGAAAAAATGGTCTGCATAAACTGTCTTAAGTTCTTTTATTTATTTTTAGAACTTTCGACTGCCACGGTCATTATCAAGAACAAAATGTTGTCAGTAAAATCCTGTCACTTTTGATAACGTTACATTTCAAATTTACATATGCATATATCCTATACATTACATGATGTGTACGACGGTTTCACTGGGCCAGATAGACTCAGAAAACAAATGCATTAAATATTTTATATAAATGACGGGACCGACTCCGAAGAGGATGCTTTTTCGACAACTACAATCTTAATCTGTTCCCATATACGGTTCATCGTTATCTTTCATGCATAGCCTCATAAACTTCACCTCTTACCACTTATTCTGATTGCTTTAACTTGAGTGGATTTTGGTTCATGTATAAAGTGAACATTAGTAAAAAAAAAAAAAAAAAAAATGAAAAATTAATATTTTATGCACTTTTTAAATATTTTATGTTCATTTGAAAATTCCGTCTCACGTAGTGACAGATATTTTATTCAATGGGTTTACAGAGAGTGCTAATAGACATAAGATTCAGAAGATCTTTCCTCATATAATGTCAGTTGATTTTTGTAATTTGGTCATATTGTGGGGAAGGGATTGCTCGAGCCGTGGAATTAAAAATCTAACCAAATAAATAACACGACTGGTACGTGAGTAGAAAAGACATCCAGATCGGACCGAAACATTGTCAGCATCCCACACACACACACACACACACACACACACACACACACACACACACATATATATATATATATATATACGTATGTATGTATGTATATTATTACTTCAAACGTTATTTTTAGTGATAACCCGTATTTGAAATAATACGCGTGACATTTATTTCAAACAGCGTGTATTACAACTATTGGCATTCGCAAATTATATATATATATATATATATATATATATATATATATATATATATTAAAACAAGCAGACACACATCGGATGAGATAAAGTAATTTAATTTATAGGCCACTCTTATCCTCAGAGATCTTAACACATTTTTTATGCCTGACGATTACATTTAAGCAAATTGTCACCTACGGGTGTTGACATTAATGTCCACTTTTATATTTAAATACACTCTGTCTCTGATATAGACCACTTTAACTCATAAATATAGCATGCCTTAAAACTATATTTTTTATGATACAAATATATATATATATATATATATATATATATATATATATATATATATATATATATAGAGAGAGAGAGAGAGAGAGAGAGAGAAAGAAAGAGTGAGAAATAGATAGATAGGCAGACATTGATGAACGCAGGTTCTGTAATGGATAGCGTCTCGGAATAAGAATCTGGGGAGCCGAGTTCGAATTCTAGTCGTGTTCGTTATATTCGTGTGGGCGCAAATATCTTTGGAAAAAGTGTGAATGCATCTCTTCTCACCCAAAATATGGGTTAAACAGCACAACGCACTCGGATGTCTGGCCCTGGCTGGTAATCATTATAGGAGAAGAACTTTTAATTCGAAGCCGTAAAAATTGTTCATAGTTCCCGACACCCGGCAATGAGAATGCGAATACAAATAAAATAGACGGAGAGATAGTGAAAGCGCTCCACATAAATAAAGTGTATGATACGTAGTTTGTTTTATTATGGGTTATGTGCATTAAAACGTGAGATTGTACAACACGGAATTGTTTATTTATTTAAAAAATGAGCTGGCAAACGTATTTATTCTCGCTTTGTTCCTTATATACTGATTTCTCTTTGCTACAAGCTCATCAGTTCTATATCTAAAGAATTCTTCAAAGAATCGATATATGGATAATATCATTTAATAGAGCTCTGGTGAATAGGTTTGATGCAATAATCTTTCTCTCTAACTGATTCAACTATGACAGCATCACATTTGAAACAGGGCTTAAATTATGATGCAACAAGATGACACATTTATGTTCCATACAAACTGGGCATAGTTACAGTTTTCCGTTAACTATTACAACATTGTTTCCACATCTATGTATAGTCCTGGGTATGGCGATTCACAGATAATAAAGAAAAAGACACTGTGGAGAGCCATCAGCGCTTACGTTCTAAAAGAACATGGCGTTTTTAAGATCCTCTATCTTGGATGCCATATTAAAGGTAAAAAAGCCGCATGTGGTTCGCAAGGCGCGGTTTGGCCACCCCTGGTATAAATTATTTGGACTAATATCTCTATCTTTGCGGTGCGGGTAGTGTAACGGATATCAGTGCGTAATATGGAATTAGCGAGCCGAGTTTAAATTCTTGGCGAGCCTGTTTCCTTCACTTTCACACTAATGCCTTTTGGTAAGACATTAATCCGTCTATCCTCCTACACACCCCAGTTATTATTTAAATAGCAGGCTAGACTTACCTTAGATGGCAACTGGTCTAAGAGAAGGAAAACTTTGAATTCAAAATTGTGAAGAAGTCAACGTGAAATCACTCTACTATCTTTCCCAAGAATGTGTGGCAATTCACAGATAATAAAGAAAAAAGACACCGTGGAGAGCCATGACTGCCTACATTATAAAAGGACATGGCTTTTTTAAGAAGTCTATCTTGGATGGTTTTTCTTGTTACATTTTGGTTGATGCCTTCTCGGAAGGATATCATAACCTGTATTCTTTGAACAGAAGCCCTTAGCTCGGCAATATTTATTTTGCTAATTCTCGGCATCATCCAAATTTACACGTTCTAAACAACAAAGCTTAGCCTTGCCAAAGCTTTGTAGTTTTGTATCTGTTCTTGTTTGAGTGGTCCTGGGTATGACGATAAACTACAATTCTTCTTCTGGCAGCAAGATCGGATGAGTGGAGGATTTGAGGAGCGTGGATAAACCTAATTGCTTTTTATCCCAGGTCCACCCTGTTCCGATGTGGTAATATCTGTTATGATCCCAGGGCAAATAATGAACCCACTAAACAAAAAATGAAAGGCTGTGAAAGTATAAAAATATATTTTTATAGTAAGATTGCTGTCAGTACATTTTTATATAAAAAAATTACCACGATACCTATTCATAGTAAAATTACCAACAATACAATTTTACAATAGAATTACCAATAATACATTTTATCTGTATATTTAGTTGAAGCCATAAAATTGTATTCAAAATATTTAGATTTCGGCATTAAATAACACGCAGAAGTCGATATGCTACTAAACAAAATTAACTAACCAACCAATTAACTACATCCGTCAGCAAGGCCTCTGATCGAAAGATTGGAGGTTTTGAGGAACGTAGAACCACCTCTCAATTGCTGTAGTTCTAAAGCCCACCCTAACCCGGGGTGCTAGCCCCTGTTATGGCCTCAGCTATGGGCGAACCCCTAAACAAAAATAAAATCAATATCAATATATAAAAATTCCAGCAATACATTTTTATATAAAAAATGACCAACAATACATATAGTAAAATTACCAACAATACGTACATTCTAACACACTGTAGCGAGCCAAATCCGTTTAAAATACTACCAAACAACCATTATAAAAGAGCTTTCATGGCATTAAGCCATATAATATCCTATTCTTAAAGAAATCAAACTGCATTCCAAAATATAGCTTCAACAAAACTAGCAACATAAAGCACACATATCCCCGCCTCTAGTAATTATGACCACACACATGGATACACACAAAAGCTGAGTATTATCTACCATGTATTCAATTGTGAAAGCGGAACAACATGTCATATTTTCATTATTTCCAAGTTCCCAAGAAAATTAAATTTCAGCATTAAATGACCCATAAGGAGTTGTCATATTGTGAAACAGACAAATCTATCAATCCTATCTGCGTATGCATTATTTTGTCCACGTGGTGTAATGGTTAGCGAGGTTGTCGTGCTAGATCAATCTATGTCTGAGTAGTGAGTTCAATCCTCGCTGGATACTCATTCTACTACATCTACACTTAGTAAATCACTACTATATTGGTTGTTTGGTTACTCTGGCAGAAGCTACGTTATACCGAATCACTTCTGTTCCATTTTAAAAGATGATAATGTCTTTTGTATGTATGTTTCGGCCTCTCGTCAGAATCTAACGGTTATGCAATTTTCTCTCCTTATACGATTATAATGACACAATACAAAACCAGATTAATGTCTTATTTTTGAGCATGATTAATGTACGCTTTTCTCATTTCTCATTCAATACAAATAGAAGTCATTTATCGGGCTATTCTTGCCAGTTACCTTGAAATGATTGCAGTCGATATAAAATTTTGCTATAGGTTATCTGAGTGAGGGCTTTGAAGCATTTTCACCCACAACGTTCAGTTATCTTGCACTTATCTTTTCTTAACCTTCCGGGCGCTTTTATCGTCAGTTTTTATCTGATCAGATTGTCGGATACACGCACCCATAAATTCAGTATATTTGCGCATAAACGCACAAACACGCATGCGCAGTAAGAATGAATATACCAGGGCATTATTTTTCTAATCTGAAAGCCTTATCCTGTCGTACATTTTAATGGCTTTCGACTTACATTTTTTTTTTATGAAGAGATGACGGTAAAAACTGGCCGACACTTTCATAAGATTTTAGCAGAATTTTTCTGATTAAATTGATGAGTGACTGTGCCTTTTGTGGGTAGATCAATGCGTTGTTTCATCTACGCTGAAATACTTTACCAATAAACTAACATTTAAAGAGATTATTTGTTTCATACCAAATTTGCATATTTGGACTCAGATTTAGAATTTGCATCTCAGTTATCCTAAATTATTTTTGATGAACACATACTCTAGCGTAATTAAAAACATATAGGATTCCAGAAACAGCATCTTTGCGTTATTACGTTATTAAATAAAAAAAATTGCATTTAACAGTTTCGTCAAGGTTTGCAAAAATCATTTCTTTTTCGATGTGCTTCATGACGCAAGCTCTTAAACATTTTCTGCTCTTTGTAGATGTTTTGTCTTTTTCCTATTTCTCCTAAACTTTCTTCCGCCATCCATTTGCTCAATCTCATTAAGTTATGCTCTGTTTTCCTCTGTCCCCCTTGCTTCCAATCTGTCCTGTGAGTATAAGATTTTCCAATCCTTCTTTTTTCATTAAGTACCCTAGGAATTTTAACTGTCTCTAACTGATGTTAAGTATTAGTTTCCTTTTTTTTCCATATTCCCTTAAATATTGTTGATTCATATATAAGAAATGTACATTTTCTAATTATTCAGATTACCTCAAGATAGGTAATAAAAGTCTTTTAGAAAAAAATGGAAACAAAATGAAACATACTTAATATCAGAAATAGACACTGGAAATGTGCCCTAGAAAGGGCACATAATGAGAAAAGGGGGCTTGAAATTTTTTACACTCGTATGACATACTGAACGCAAGTGGGGACAGAGGAAAACAATAGATAACTTATCTAGCGAATTTATGTAAATGGTTGACAGAACAGGGATTAGGAGATAGAGCAAAAAGATAAAATTCATTATGACCTACAAAAGGCAAGAAATTGCCAGTCCTAAACAGATATGGTACATATAGAAGAAGAAGATATATATATATATATATATATATATATATATATATATATATATATATATATATATATATATATATATATATATATATATTATGCATGAAAATGACTCTCATCACACGGCGTTGACCTCAAAGTTGCTGCCCACCCTCTTCGGCACCCTTACAAGGCTGAGGGCGCCATCATGCCTCCAGTTCATGTTTTTGGAACGATACTTGCGGTCGTCCATGACTTAAGACACATTAAATTCTTTGGGTATTTTTGAAAATGTTCTTATAAAAATGGATATTGGCTCGTATTGAGGAATCGGAGAGCCGAGTTCGAATTCCAGTCGAATCCATTACATTCACTTACGTGCTAATCCCTTTGGGAAAGGTATGAATCCTCTTCTTCTTCCCCAGCTATGGGCAAATGGCAGGACAGACCGGATTCTATAGCCTTGGACGGCAACTGGTCTACCGCAGAAAGGAATGGCAACCAACTGTGGGAAAAAAAAACCTGCCTCGTCAGTCATGTATCGAAAGATACATGATCGCCTAACACGTAACACGCATGGCACATAACTGACTGACCTTTGACTATCTCAGTCATTATGAAGTACTGGGTGTTGTCACAGTCAACAAATTCTTTGACTAACTCCTGGCGTTTTTGATCGCTAGACTTGGAATTGAAATTATTTCAAAAAGGCGTTACTTGTAAGGGCTAAACGGAAAAGCATGCATCGAATATTTATACGTGTTTTTTTTTTTTTTTTAAATATGTTTCTCTGTATAAGGTATTGACATAGAAATCTATATAATACATGGGGAATTTCTATGTGTCCGTGTGTCACACTTTTTCAACTTTACTCCAAGAGGCCGTATCATACCATTTTGGAATCGACTTCATGAGCAAATTAAAAACATTCCTGGTCGGATCTGAACCCGCAATCCTGAAATTTTGGATTCCAAAGTTTTCATTACTGCGATTGTTTTCGGCGATTTTTTACGTGATTTTTTGCGTCGATTTTTTTGCACGATATCAATTTTTATAACGAAACTCACCTATGAAATAAAAAAAATAATAGCTTTTACGGAAAGTAAGGACCTACCTGCATCAAATTTTCTTTAAATTAAGTGGCAGCGGAAGAATTATCGTTGAACTTTTAAAAGGTATGATTAAACATTAATGTAATACTTAAATGCAGCGATAAATTTTGAGTTCTTCTGTAGCTTATTGTTGTCTATCGCATCTACTCCTCCCTACCTACTGTGATCAAGAGCCAATCAAGAGCTCGCTGTAGGAGCTAGCTTAAATGCCGTCCGATAGGGCGGCTTTTAAGCTAGTCAATAATATATGGTGACTTTCAGTTTCATAAAGAAAGTGCCAGTCACCATATATAGAGTTGATTTCTAGGTTCATATTGTGAACAGTCGATGTTCTGTAGTGGAGTTGAATATGAGACCCGGATGCATATCTCACGATGGAAAATTTGTCAGGGAGAAAGTGTATGCATATACAAACAAGGATATCTATCTATCTATCTATCTATCTATCTATCTATCTATCTATCTCTTTTTATTTCTTCCTTTCTTGATAACTATCTTTGATCGCTATCTATCTATCTATCTATTTTTCTTTTTTACTTTCTTGATAACTATCTAAGCTTACTCTCTCTCTTTCTCGCTCTCTATCTCTTTTTCTCTTTCCCTTTATTGATAACTATCTTAACTTGTTCTCTCTCTCTATATTTTTCTTTTGTCCTTTCTCTCATCGCTACCCTTGTCTATTTTCTCTTTCTCTCTTTCTATTTCTTTTTCTTTCTTGATAACTAAGCTTGCTCTCTCTCTCTTCTTTATCCTTTTCTCTTTTCCTTCCTTGATAACTATCTTAGCCTTCCCCCTATCTCCCTACTCTATCTATGTATCTTTTTCTCATTTCCTTTCTTGGTGGCTATCTTTGTCTGCTATCTCTCTCTCTTTTTCTCTTTTCCTTTCTTGATAGCTATCTTTGCTTGCTGTCTCTCTCTCTCTCTTTTTCTCTTTCCTTTCTTGATAGCTATCTTTGCTTGCTATCTCTCCCTCTCTCTCTTTTTCTCTTTTTCTTTCTTGATAGCTATCTTTGCTTGCTATCTCTCTCGCTCTTTTTTCTCTTTTCCTTTCTTGATAGCTATCTCTGCCGGCACTCTCTCGTTTTATTTATCTATCTCCCGTGGAAGTATCATGGTACTTATATAGTGGGCAAATTAGAAAGCATATGCCTGTTCTGTTCACACGCAAGCGCCGGTGTATGGTATGATTGATTACGTTCTAACTTTATTAAAGTAATTACAATGCCGCGTTGTAGTAAGCAGCTTTTACTATTTGATTTGTTTCACTGAAATTCCGGATCATTATCGTCACAGTCACTATTCTTTAATTTGTCGGAGAAATGCGTCCGTCTTCATTGTTGTCTCAGCTGCCATGATTGTCTAAAAAGCAATAATCATAATTCTGCTTAATTGCCTTCATTGTCCACCGCGGATGTTATTATTGCAAGGCGAATAGTGAAGAAGATTGATATGGGATTGGCTTGGTAGGTGGATGGTACGACTGATGGATGGCTGGGAGGAGTAAAAGGTGAATAAATGGTATCGATAAAGAGAGAGAGGGTGAAGTTGAGAAAGGAAAATAAAAAAACGGACAGGTAGCAGGATTTGTGGATGGACAATAGAATTTAGGCGTGTCGGAAATGGATGGCTCCTCGGAAGATAATGTTTTTGGAGAAATGAAGACCGTGAATGCTTTTAGGTGATGAAGAAGTGCATAGAAATTGTCTTGTGAGTGAGATAACCTCGCATTATTTCACTTGTGTCGGAGGTCCCTATGTGAGGTCAGTTAAAAAACTCGAATTTCAAACGTTAATTTTCCAAGCAGGCAGAGTCCGGGGTATGACGCTAAACTACATCCGGCAGCGATATCCCTGATAGGGAGATTGGAGATTTTGAGGAGCTTGGAACCACCTCATAATTGCTGTTGTTCCCAGGTCTATCCTGACCCGGAGTGGTAGCTCCTGTTCGAGCCCCAGGTATGGGAAAATAGTGAACGTCCAAAAAAAAAAAAAAAAAAAAAAAAACACTATGAAAGTATAAAAATTTTAATAGTAAAAATGCCAGCAAAATATTTTTATATTAAAAGAATTACCAACAATGTATATTTATATTAAAATTATCAACAATACATATCGCAAAATGACCAACAATATATTTTATCTGTAGTTGAAGCCATAAAATTTTGTTCGAAATATTTAGATTTAGGCATTAAATAACCATAGTGGTTGATATGTCTCTAAAAAAAAAACCCCAAAAACCCCAACTAACCACCAACTAACTCGACTTGAGAGGTTGACGCAGCACAGTCTTGCTACGATCTCATTTCTTTATATTCATCTTTGCCCCACCCTAAGCAAATATTATTAAAGATCATTAAATAGCTAAATACAATCCGAGAGGAAGCGGAAAAAAAGCTATAGGATATGTTCAGTGTTTGATTAATTTTATTCTTGTTCGTTCGATGTTTCCTCTCATTAGATTTTGTGATTTTAATCGAGAATTTCCACCTTTTCCTTTAAAGGAATCACTTTGCTGCTTCTATTTTGCATATCCGAATTGCCAGCATTAATATTTGTTGCAGAGTAGCTAGCACCCCTCCGGCACTCTACCAGGTGGCCTGGCTCATAGCCTTAAATAGTCCACGATTAAGGACTTTAACAGTTGATTAATAAGCTGATACTAAACTGATTAATATTTGGAATGATCTTATTTCATTTGGCTATACAGCATTTGACCCTCCTCTAGTTGTCTTGTTAATTGTTTGTAACGTATTGTTCTGTGTTTTTTGTATGCATCTGCTAGCACTGGATACTGGTGCTGAATAAATATATTAAGCACTCATTCTTTGTGTAGCATTCATCTTGACGATACAACACTATTCTTGTTCATTGGACCATGATTAAGTAAAACTTATGACTTGTTTATTTAATATATTATTATTGGTACAGTTATTTAATATTTGATTATTAATGCAATAAAAAGACAAGAAAATGGTGACAAGTGGAAATTATAACCACATTAGTTGGCAATCCGAAAAGAAATAAACAAAAATGAAAACAGAAAAAAAAAAATCCCGAACATACTATAGAATCGCCCCAAACTTATCAGAACTCGATTGAGGAAATCAAAATATTGTGCACTCCGACTAAAAAATGAGGGAAAAAATTCAGTGATATATTAACACCGATATCAGTCTTCCTATATATCTGTGAATGCTGAACAATCTCCTCACAGATGAAGAAGTATCTTAAAGCAACAGAAATGTAGTTCTACAGAAACATGCTGAGAATACATATGAGCAACGACGAAGTATTAGAGAAAATGGAGAAAAAAGACACTTATATTTAACATTAAGAAGTGACAGTTGATTTTTTAGGGAACATAATGAAGAAAAAGGCCTGGAAAATTTGACACTCACGGGACAGATTGAAGGCAAGACGGATAGGGAAGAAAACAACGCATAGCCGACTTGGTGAGCTTGTGTAAATGGATGGTGGAAAAAAGTTTAGGATAGATAACGCAAAGACAACATCTATTATGAGGTACAAAGGTCAGGAAATTGTGGAGAGCCATGATCGACAACGTACTGCAGGGACACAACACATAGAAGATATGTGCATATAGATCACACTAAGTCCAAAAAAACAATCCTTTAAAGACAATTGTCTTGATTTGATATAAATTATCTTGACGATTTTTAAGTTTCAAGTAATACGTGGAAAGTGAACTGCTCAAAACAGATGGCATATTCTCACGAATAGACAATGAAAACTGTTTTAACAGAGGACGGAAGATGCGACACCCAAATCCGAAAGCGCAACGAGTTTGCGAAAGATTTCTTCCAAAAGGTAAGTAAATTATTAAGATATAGGAAAATTTAATTATAAACGAAGAGAAGATTACTAACTGTTGTGCAATATCGGTCATCCTATATGGTAGAGAATGCTGGACAATCTCCTCACAGATGAAGAAGAGACTTGAAGCAACAGAAATGTGGTCCTACAGAAGGATGCAGAGAATATCATAGACTGGACTCGTAAACAACGACGAAGTTTTAGAGAAAATGGAAACAGAAAGGTCACTAATGAGTAGCACCAGGAACAGATAAAATTTCTAGGAGACATAATGAGGAAAGAGGGCTTGGAAAATTTGAGAAACATATGATATATTGAAGGCAAGAAGTACAAAGGAAAGCAGTGCATAACCTACCTAACGAGATTGTGTAAATGGATGACATAACTGTGCTTAGGAGATATAGCAAAAATACAATTTATTCTAAGAGCTCCAAATGACAGGTGAAAACACCATGCCCCGAATTAACGGATTCAATACATTCCGGAAAACAGATCGGCTAAGACCATAGGAGTGAAGATGATAGTTTGAATAAATCATGGAATAATTAAACAAATTTGTTTATTCTTATTATTGGAATGACATCCGTTAGAAAATTAATGAAAGTTAAAAAAACACCCCCCCCCACAAAATTGCAAAACAAAAACAAAAAACCCCAAAAGACACGACTTTACTATTAGGATAAATGGTCTGAAACTTTAGCGTGCAAGGTATAACAGTGTTGTTTAACCCTTTGAGGCCTGACCACCGCTTTACCGGTGGTAGAGAAAAATGACGTAATGCCCGTAATGGGTAAACACTTGGTCGTGTTCTGCTATTGGTTGCATTATTTTGAAGAGCCAATCAGAAAAGCCTTAATATTCTGATGTCATCGAACGTTATACCAACATGTCCGCCTTTTTCATTGTATTTTTTGGATGTGTTTTGGATAAAAAAAAAGATCGTTTTTACCATGAAGCGTGCAGAGTCGCAACATGGACCATCAGGGAAGAAATCAGGAAGTTATATTATTTGTAACTATTTTTATATCTACCGTGAAATTTGTGAATTTTGACCCAGGAGCTCAGGCAGAAGGGTTAAAATTGCTCAGGAACGCTGGACTCAGAGGTTTAACAAAACCACACTTTTACTTTCCCAAATGCAGAGCCAGTTAAATAATTAATGTAACAGAAGTTATTTACGTGAGTCGGCTGAAAAGTTCATAGGTTGATCAAAATACTCCCCTGGAATGTGACCAAATGAAGTTCATTTTTCAACATAGTCCACCCTTGCGGTCCATGCACTTCTTCCATCGATATTGCAGTGCTTGGATCCCCTATTTGAAGAAGCTTTCATCATGTTGATCAAAAAGTCATCAAAAGTAGATATGACATCATCACCACCGCGCTGCTGGTTCCCAGTCAAGGGTTTTTAATGTTGGGGAACAGATGATAGTCAGATGGGGCTGTTCCTCACTGGGTTCCCCATACGCTCGGCCCTGTGTCACATCTAAGCTATGTTTAGAAAATTACCTTAATTAATTGGACGATTAAACTTAAAACTCGTCTGTCATTCAGGTTAACAACTAATTACAACTGAATTTGAATGTAGGTAAATTATCGAATTTCATAGTACAATCGATATTCCCCCTAATCTTGGAGACGAGTTCTCCGCACACTTTGGATCCCACCCACCAGAATCAAAAACTTTAAAATGTAGCTGATATATTTGAATCAAATATATG